AGAACACTGCCTTTGGGGCATTTGCAGAGATTTCCGTTCTGTCATTCCCCAGTCGATGGACAAACCCACCCAACCATCAACCAGTTAGACACACAGTGACCCCCAGGGTCACATCAACTCCAGATTCCCTTCTCCTGCAATGCTCCTCCTGCTCTGGCACACCCCCCCCCCCCCCCCGCCCCCAGACAGCTCCCGGCGCCGTGCCCCCAACCCCTGCAGCAAACAGGCCCTCCCACACCCCACTCTGCAGATAACGCAGGCGACAGGCCCTGGCCGAGCAACACTGGCCCCAGGGGCCTCTTTCCCCAAATATATAATGAGCACCCGGGCTCCCACCCCGGAGGCCCCGCCCCCTCACGGCCAGGACTTGAGAAGCTGGCCCAGGCGCTGGCGCGGGGCAGCGGGTCTCCCTACCTTCCAGCGCAGGGCTTCCAGCTTCTCCTCCTTCAAGCGCAGGCGCAGTTTCTCCCGCCGAGCCCGGGCTTGCTCCTGTGCAAACTCGGCCAAGGAGAAGCGGCGGCAGGCGCTGTGGCGGGGGGCCATACCCAGAGTGCAGCCACCGCGGCTGGGCACGCTGGTGAAGCCCTGACACCGAGGAAAGTAGAAGACGGTGATGCCATCGAAGGCAACGCGGCCTGGGCGCTTCCGGGGCGCCCTCTTCAGGATGGACAGGGCTGGAAAGGCAGGGAGGGAAGGGGCAGGGCATTAGTTCTCCGTGAGGGACGGCTTAACCTCCAGGAAGATGGCGAGCTGCCTCTCCTCACACTCCCCCTCCGATCTCCTAGCCCAAAGAAAGCAATGGATCCGAACGGATCTGGAGAAATGGAGCCAGCCTGGCTGGGGATGAGCGCTGGTACATTTGAACGCCACTCCTAGGTCACCATGGGCTTACTGTTAGTTACCAGTCCAAATGAGAGCATTTGGTGACATTAAGCATCTTTCCCATCTTTATTAGCCATTTATAGGTTCCTTATGCAGTTTTCTGTAGTTTTGTATTGATTTGCAGGAGCTCTTTATATATGACATTAGAGATAGTAATCATCTAGCCCATCTGTGCAAATATTTTAGTCTTTTAATATTTATTTATTCATTTATTCATTTATTTATTTTTTAAATAAAATGTTTATTCATTTTGAGAGACAGAGGGAAACAGAGCATGAGCGGCAGAGGGGCAGAGAGAGAGAGAGAGGGCGACACAATCCGAAGCAAGCTCCAGGCTCTGAGCTATCAGCACAGAGCCGGACTCCGGGAATCACGACCTGAGCTGAAGTGGGATGCCTGACCACTGAGCCACCCTCGCGCCCCTTTAGTCTTTTATTTTTGTCCAAGGCATTTTATAAAATAACTTCTAAGGCTACATAATTAAAAATATATTGATCTTTTCCTTTATAGCTTCTGCATTTTGGAACACATTTAGGCTATTATTTGGGATTACCTTTCTAAATTATGGATTGTATACTGGGTAGTAAGCTATGTATTTGGTATCTTCTGTACACATATTGGTATACCGTTCCTTTTTATTAGGCTGAACCACAGGCAGAACCATAAAGCACTTGAATACTGGCAATTTCATGTATTTCCATGCAATATGTTATTTTGTCTGTCTCAATCCAATATATAGAATTCTCATCCTCTCTGCTAACTGGCGAGTACTTACTGAACAATGCTAACTACCAGTGGTGACAGGGTCCCCATCTCTTTCTTTAGTTGGACTGCTTCTAATATTTCCTCATTAATCAGAATGCCAGCTTTTTGGGTTGAGACACATATTTTTTAATCATGTAAGGTAGCATCCATTTATTGCTACTTTATCAAGGGTCTTATCCAGAAGGAACATGACATTTTTATCAAATGTCCTTCAACATCTACAGTGGCTCCTATATTTTATAGTAAACTATAAAAGTATAAAATCGGATTTTATAGTATTTTATATTTTATGATATTTATAATATTAAGCCATTCTTGTATTTCCAGAATAAACCTACAGGAGTTTAGTCAACATACTGTTAGATTCTATGTGATACAAATCATACTCTTTTTCTAGTATAATATAAAGATATTATAAACAAAGACACCATATCTGAGGTATTAAAATGTCATGGCAGGAATGTCATAATTAGGAAAACTATGTCTCGGGGTGCCTGGGTGGCTCAGTGGGTTGAGTGTCTGACTCTTGAT